GGGTTTGGGTTTGTAAATTCATTTTGATGAACTTCACCCCTCCAACTTTTAATTTCTTCAATTGAGTCCCTTCTTTCTTCTTCTTGAATTTTCCAATTTCTTTTTGCATGTAACACCTGAAACAAAATAAAGATATATTAGTCAAATAAAAGGGAAATCTTCATATTTTTATATTTTTTGATTTTTTTTCTTTTTTTTTTTTTTGATAAAAATTTGATAAAAATTTGAGTTATGACACATGTTTAATGCATAAGTGTAAAATTTAGTTATAAACAAGAAAAAAAGACCCAATAATTAGTTGATGAATTTATTGTTTACTTATGAATTTTTATCTTTAGAGTTCTGCTCTAAATGCTTATTTTCAATTATTGTAGCAAAATATTAACAGGTGTAACGCATTGATTATTGACAACCTTATAGCATAATTAATAAGCCCTACCATACTTGATATCCCAGTTCAACTCATCAATATAGGCAAGTTTTTACCATTGTTTTCAAAATCAAATCAGAGATCGAATCATTTTGACCTTCAGTTTAGGGTTTGGGTGGTTGAATTGGTTTGACTGTTAAAAAACTAGGTTAATTGAATTTTGAAGATATATATTAAATATAATATAATGCAATTCATTTCCAAAAGCTAGAACTGAATCCTTATTTATTTTATATAGAACTTGAGTTCAAGCCCCAAATGTGTCAAATTTATTCATTTATGTAATTCTATTATAATAAATATATCTCAAGGCATTAAAGTTCATAAAGTACGCTCAGGTCAAGTGGCAGAAGCTGCTTAAATATACAAGAGGTTAGGTGTTCAAATCTCATGGAAGTAACTGCTGAATTTTTCTTTAGTCTTTATAATATTCTTTAAAAAAAAAAATCTTTGTAGCCCATTTCACAAAGGATAATATTGCTTTGGTGGCAAAGGAGCTATCAAAACCTAATGAGGTTTCGTGTTCAAAACCCAACGGTAGCAACAAACCTGGCAAATTTTGTCCCAATAGTTGGCTCACTGGTTGGGCAATTCTTATCGATTTAGTTGATTTGAATGGTTTTAAACAATTTAACCTCTTAAACGGGTTTAATTATCAACTCGACCAGTTTCTACTACTGGGTACCGGTCTAATCAGTTCAACTTGCTGGTCTAATCTAGTTTTCAAAACAATAGTTTTTACATAATAATTATACAAGAACTAAGAGATGTCTTAAATTCATTACATAGTATATAAAGCGCAAGAACTAGAAATTTACATAAGGGCTACACAATAACTAAAGAGTTATCATGACCAAAGGACTAAAATGACTACATAGTCTAGATAGGCAAGAACTTTTGTTTAATTGACTCAACATCATAGAAACACGCAAGAACTACATAGAAGAGTAGGATAGCCATTAAAAATTTTCATCAACAACTTGAGAACTCGAAGAATACCAAATCCAAGAATCTCACCCATCGAGGCCTGATGTAGAGAGGAAGACAATCAATAGAAAGAACACCGCATATGTTGGGAAAAAACATGCACAAAAAGCAATAAGGTCCACTTCATACCAATTCCCTTTTGTTGCACCCAAAGGCGATGATTCCAAGTATGGTGTCTCAATATTAATGAGACAGCATTTCTCCAATGGTGGGCCACAAAGAAATTGATTTCCTTCATAGCTACTCTTCTCAAATGTTGAAAACTGTGCTTTCATCATTGGAATCTGGCCAGATAAGTTGTTGTGTGACACATTAAAGACCTCCAAGAAGTTTAGGTTCGTTAACTCAGGAGGGATATTTCCACTTAGATTGTTGCAACAAAGGTCCAAGCTTTCAATCTGGGATAGCTTAGACAAGGTGACTGGAATAAGACCCATCAATCGATTATGAGAAAAGTTTAATGCATGAATCTGAGTGAACTTTCCAATCTCTTGAGGGATTTCTCCAGTTAAATCATTACAAGACATGTCAAGAGCAGACATGAAATTTAATATACTACCCTTGTAAGAGCTACCCCTGTTTTTATCAACCAAGTAAATCTCATTCAGTCCTGCAGCCTCAATATCTATGAGCAGGTTCAAATTCTTCCTCAAGAGATCTCCATATATGTGATTTTCATCAGTGAATGTGTTTGAAATTTGCAATTGATCTTGTGCAAGAGTTTTACCATAATTCTCCATCCCCCCAAAGGTTAAATTTTGAAGACAGGAAGGTATTGTACCAGAGAAAGAGTTGCTAGAAAGATCCATTATGCTTATTTCTTTCAAAAAACATATTGTCTTTGGGATTAGACCCTTCAAATGATTTTTTCCCAAAAGAAGAATTTTCAAATTTAGAAATGTACCAATCAAGTTAGGAATGTGGCCAAACAAGTTGTTATCTCTAAGATTCAAGACAGAAAGACTACTTGAGGAATTTGGAAGAAAATTTTGAAACAATCCTATAAACTTGTTCCCTTCTAAATGGATCTCATCAATGTGGGTGAAATCAATACAAGAAGGTAGAGGACCAGAAAGAAAATTATGAGAGAGGTCTAAAAAAAACAATGGAGACATAAGTTGTTGGCATGGAAATTGACCTTCAAAAGAGTTATTCCTCATTGAAACTACCCAACTCACCTTATTAATCCAGGTGGGAATTTGACCTGTCATGTTGTTGTTGCTAACATCTAATATGCCCAACATCTCAAGTGTCACATTCAATAGGCTTCCAGTGAATTCATTGTTGTTAAGCTCTAACTGAAACAAATTACTCAAGTTGAATTCAGATGAAAAGATTTTGCCACCAAGTCTGTTGTGGGATACTATCAAATGTTCCAAATTGCTACACCTTGCAACCAATTCCTTAGGGATTTCTCCTGAGAAATTATTAAAGGCCAAATCCAACCCCAACAAATCATGCATGTTTCCAAGACTACTTGGGAGAGCACCTTCAAAATGATTCAAAGACAAATTAAGATATTGTAAGCTAGGAAGCTTGTCGCCAACATCTTTTGGTAACTTCCCAGTGAATTGATTCTCTGACAGATCAAGCCAAACCATATTTCCTAATCGATATGGCAAATAGAATTGACCAGCAAAAGAGTTATTTCTGAGATTCATAAATTTGAGGTCAAGATTATTTTGTAGCAACCAAACAGGAAACTCTCCTTTCAACTTGTTGTGGGAAAGATCAATTACTCTCAATCTTTGTTGGTAAAATAGAAACTTTGGAACACTGTTTAGATTCAAATCAGAGAGTACCAATGCTTTGAGTTGAAATGACAGATTGATCCAACCAGGATTTTGAGTATCAATGTTTAGTCTATCTTTGTATCCCGTGAGCATACAAACCTTAAGCTTGGAATGATTTCCAATGTCGTTGAAGGAGAATAAGCCTTCAAAAAAGTTATGACGAAGGTCAATGAATTCAAGGGATAAGGGGAGGTTTCGTATCAAATTTGAAGAAAGGTTTCCAGTGAAAAGGTTGTAAGAGAGATCTAAAAGTTTAAGAGATGTCAAATTGTTTAGCCATGGAGGAAGTGTCCCTTCAAAATTATTTCGGCTGAGATCCAACTCTTGAAGCCTCTTCAATCCACACATACCTATGACAAAGGACAATTTTGTTACTAAGAAGCCATATTGGCCTTTCATGGAATAACTAAACTATTTGTAGAAGCAGAAGTCAAGAAATGAGCCCTAGCATTTATCCTTAATTATAGTCCGGCTAAAGATGAGCTAAAATACACCATTCCAAGTTGATATATCTCAAAAATAAGGTATAGAGCAAACTCGTTCGCTAGGTTAATGAAGCATCGCATGTTCAAATTTCTTACATACCATGAATTGGTAAGGAGCCATTAAGTTGATTGTTAGACAAAGACAATGCTTTCAAAGAATGAAGTGCCCCAATAGATGGAGGAATACCACCGCTGAATTGATTCCAGCTCAAATCTAATATCTCCAATCTTGTAAAACCTATGAATAGATGAACAAGAATAGTAGTGCTAAGCAAGAATTTTAAAGAGTTGTAGTGTTAAATTAAAATTGGAGATTGGATTGATGTACCCTTTCTATCTTCTGAATAAAATACATTTTGTTACCGTTCAAAAAAAAAAGGGGATTGGATTTGAGAAGTTTGTTTACCTTGAATTGGCAAGTTTCCACTTAGGCTATTATGACTCAAATTAAGCACCTCCAAATTGCTCAGGTAACCCAAATCTTGTACACGTTATACATATGAAATCAATGATAAAAATAAATAAATAAATGAGACATCATTTCGGCAGTTAACTACAAGTATAGAAGTTAAATGGATATGAGAGATCTACCTTTGTTATAAAGGGGTCCTCCTAACGAGTTGCTTGAAAGGTCAAGCAATTTTAGGGATGGGAGCGTGCCCAAAATTGCAACAATATCTGTATTCAATTCATGATTTCCGTTTAGATAAATTAAAGGTACTTCAACTTGCTCAGCTTGGACAAACTTGCAAAATCTAATTGAAGAGATTATAGATATCAATAATACAATTACTTCTAATTTTGTATTCAATTAAGGTTAAAACCCCTTTTTGGTCCCTGAACTATTGTACGGACCCTCGATTTGGTCCCTGAACTAAAAAAATCCCTGATTTGGTCCCTATTGTTTACCATTTTTACCCCGATTTGGTCCTTCCATCAAATATCAACCTACGTGTCCCGTTTCTTGACGGAAAATGATGACATGTAAAAACATTTTGACACCTAACAAGAAAAAAATGAGATAGCAAGAAAAAAAATCTTAAAAAATTTGTTATTCCTTTTTTTTTTTTTCTTTCTTTGTTTTTCCTTTTCCCCCTTCTTCTTCCTCTCCCTTTCCTTTTAACCTTCTGCAAACCCTAACTCCTAATATTAAATTCGAGGATAACACAACAAATCAACAGATTAAACTCAATAGATATTTGACCCAACGGCTGCTGGGTTCGAAACGAAACCCAGGGCCTCAAACCCACCGCGTGCTGGGTTCGATTTCGAACCCAGCACCTGCAAACGAACACAGCACCTGCAAAAACCTAGCATTCGAAATTGAAAAATCGAACCCAACACCTACAATAACCCAGCAACTGCCTTGCCTTGCCTTCTTCATCTTATCAATCAATTTTTCATCACAATCAAACAACAAAATCCAAAAAGCAAAAGCAGAAATTTTTTTTAAAAAAATTTTTGCACTTGGGTTCCTAGCGTGCTGGGTTTGTAGGAACCCAAACGCAAACCCAGCACGCTTGGGTTCCTTGCGAACCCAGGCACTGGGTTCACAAGGAACCGAACCCAAGCGTGCTGGGTTCGCACCAAACCCAGGCATGCTGGGTTCGCACCAAACCCAGGCATGCTGGGTTCGCAAGGAACCGAACACAAGCGTGCTGGGTTCGGTGCGAACCCAGGCGAACCCAGCATGCTTGAGTTCCTTGCGAACCCAGGCGCTGGGTTCACGAGGAACCCAGCGCCTGGGTGGGCTCGAAGGAACCCAGGCCTGCTGGGTTCCAAGGGGAAAGAGAAGAGAAAGGGGAAGGAGAAAGAAAAAAGAAAAAAAGAAAAAAAATTTTAAGTTTTATTTTTTATATTATTTTTTTATATTATTTTTTTTCCACATCATCACTTTTTGGTTATATTATCTTCCACGTGGATTATTACATGACATGTCATCCGGTAACCGTTAAGTAATAGGCCACGTCACGTAATTTTTAATGAAAGGACCAAATCGGGGTAAAAATGGTAAACAATAGGGACCAAATCAGGGATTTTTTTAGTTTAGGGACCAAATCGGGGGTCCGTACAATAGTCCAGGGACCAAAAAGGGGTTTTAACCTTCAATTAAACAAAGTCAACGGTTTAGAATTATAAGTCATTCTTTAGGTAATTCAAATATTTGATGGTATGATATCCACAATTTGTGATTTAACAATAAAAAAAATTGTACATAAAAATAAAATGCAACACGGTGATGAAATAATAAGTTACTAACAATTCTATCACGTCTAATTTGATCAACTAATAAACATATTACTCCGGTATAGTACAAATCAATAATTAAACCAAGTGATAAATCATCTGAAATTAACGTAAATTGGATTAAACCTGGGCATAGGAGGAACTGAACGTTTTAATTAGTTTCTTTTACTTATTTTTTGTTCTTTTTTTTGGTCAAAATTAGTTATTAAGTATTGCAAAAGTTTTGAATCCCTTAACCTTACTAACGACTTGAATAGTTTAATGGTAATTTTTTTTCACGAAAAAGTTTTTTTGTTTTTTTCTCTACTGGTTTTTATCTGCTTCTACTTTTCAGTTTCCGTTTGTTTTTTGTTTTTGGTTCTAATAGAGAGATTTCAAAGATGAAGAACTGAGTGAAAGAACTAGTACTATTGATTCCTGTACCTTGTGCTGCTGACGAGCCACCCAGTATGTTGGATCCTAAATCCAACTCTTCTATGTTCTCGAGAACAGATAACTCTGCAAAAAGATTAATTTGGCAAATACTACTGCACGTCAACTTGCATGTATACAGGTCAAGGGTCATTTCCCAACAGATCGGAGACTGATCAAGGGCTTTAATTAAACACTGTTTGTAAAAAATTTAATTGTACATAAAAAGCATACCTTTGTTCTGTTTCCAACCAGCAATTACGTTGAGGGATAAATTGAGGCTTCTTAGCTCCTTAAATGGCTCAAACAAGGAGATATTTAAATACCAATTGTATTTGGAGTCAAAAAAACTATCAAACTGCCTGGTGTTGCTGAGGGAGAGCTTGATCACATGGCCAGTGGTGGAGTCACAACCGACCCTCTCCCATTTACAACAGTCATCCTCTGGGTCATTAACCCATGAGGAGAGAAGATGGCCAGCATCATCGCCATCTGATTTAACAAAAGCTTTGAATTCGAGAAGGCCCTTCTTCTCCTCTTCAAAGCAACCTTTGTTTCCTCGGACGAAAAGCAAGTGGATTACACCCAGCAATAAAAACTTTATTATCAGATCAGCACCCATCTAGGAATGAAGAAGAATATGCTGGTGATAACGTTTGTACATGGCTGGCTTATATATATATATACTCCCTATATATGTTTACTCTTTAAATTGTCATTCTTTGAAAAAAAAAATGATAATAATTCCTTTTTAATTGCTTTTACTTTTTCGACCAATGAGGCATTGATTATTTTTTAATAATGATAAAATGAACAAATTTTATGAAATTAAAATTTAAAACCAATGACATTGCACGATAAAACTATTAAAAGATATACTTTATAGTTTTTAATAATTAACTTCTTTTATTTTATTAAAACTCATGATATTAAATATATAAATTCATTTAATGACATAACTTATGACATAACTTATAACATATCATTAGTCTCAAATTTTTGTCTTTGATCTGTGTCACTACTGATTATTTTTTTCTCAATATTACCCCTCAATAGCCCACTATTCTCATAAAATGCAAAAATGGTATTGTGCCTAAATTAATTGAGGATGAATCCATTTATAGATAACTTTTTACGCATCACAATCATACAAAATTTTTAATTATTCATCTCTTAACATTTAATTGTTGAAATTTATTATTTTTTATATGAAAAAGGTAATTATTTTTCATAAATATAAATAAATCTCAACCATTAAAATTAAAAAAATGAATAATTAAAATTTTGTATAAATGTGATATATAAAACTTGTATGTAAGTGAATTTTTCCTCAAATTAATTCAGTAATTTGGTATTTTGGACTTACATATCCGAAATATAAGATAAAATAACAAATATCTAAAATGTTAAATAAAAAGAAATAGGAAGAGTATATTGTAAGACGACGGCTACACTGCAAATCCCTTTTACCAACTATTTAAGTGATTAAATTGTAATTTTTCTTTTTGTTAGAAGTAAAAATTATTAACGTTTCGTTTGGTTCATAGAAAACAATTTCTGAAAAATATTTTTTGTATTTTTCAATGTTTGGTAACCTTTTAGAAAATAGGTCAATGAAAATAAAGTTAAGTCAATGAAAAATGCAATAGGTAATTTGTGGAAAATGACTTCCGGATTGAATTTATGGAAGTTATTTTCCAACTTCAAAAACACACAGATCCATGTATATATAAGTAGAAATTCATTTACGTACAACTTTTGTAGATTACATTTATACAAAATCTCAATTATTCATCTTTTTACTTTCAATAGTTGAAATTTATCATGATTGTTTAGACAAAAAAAACTATTTTTAAGAAATGTGAGTAAATCTAAATAAATCTCAACTATTGAAAGTAAAGAGATGAACAGTTTAGATTTTATGTAAATGTGATATATAAAATTTGTGTGTAAATAAATTATATATATATATATATTGTGTAGGACAAGTTTCATCCTCCTAAAATTTTATTTGGAGGACTTATCTAAAAATTTACCTTTTAATTAATATTTTTATAAATCAATCGTTAAATTGAAAGTTTTATTCATGTAGATCATATATGTCAATTTTTATATTAATTAAACACTTATAATTTTTTAATAAAAAAACTATATTTATTGATATATATTTAACAGTGTTAAATTTTTTATAATCAAAGAAATAAATAGATCTATTAAAATAATTTAAAATTTGATATGCATAATCATATGAATAGAACTTTTCAATTTAAAAGTTGATTTTTTAAAATATTAATTAAAAAAATAATTTTTAAATATATCTTCTAAAAAAGATTTAGATAGAGATGACGACTTTTTCATATATAGATGTTAAGGTTGTGGTGACTGCACTGTAAAATAAATGTGGCTTGAGCAATTGGACATTATAGGTAAAAGAGTGGAGTCTTGTAAGGTTTGGACCTTATTGTTTTACCTAGATTTGTTATTAATTTTTAATATCTCGAGTTAAAATTTTGTATAGAAGTTGTGCTCTGTTGTATGTTTGGTCTCCAAGAACATGTGTGCTTTTGATATGTAAGGTGCCCCTAATCAGTTTGTAAAGATTTGAGCATCCCTTGCACTCGGAGCGATAAAATTCTGTTTTTGTTGATAATAAAATTTTGGTATTTAAACTTTTATTTTAAAAGTATGATAAAAAAATATCAACAAAAGCTTGGCTAAACACTAACTTAAAATTTTAATTTGTTGTGAGTTCAAACACCTAGAAAATATAAAAATAATAAATGTGCCATTGATCAATTTTAATGTTTTAATTTAAATTT